TTTGTATTTTTTTTTTATGAGAAAAATTTATTTTATTTTTTTTATATGAAATTAAAATTAACATTATGTAATAAACTTTCATCTAATATGTTATTAACAAATTGTTTTTTTTCTTTCCAGTGGGCAAAGGAAGCAAAAGAAGCCGAACGTCTAGAAAAAATGCTGAAGATTGAAAACGAAGAAAACGCAGCTGCAAACAACTTAGCGCTGGCGATTCAGAGTCGCAACGAGGCTCGAGCGAGTCAATCCGACAAATTCTTCGACGCACTGATCGACAAATATGCGAAAAAAGCGGAGAAAACAACTAGAAAGAAATCCACGCCCGCAAGAGCCGCTAAAACTACGAAAATCACGAAGAAAACCAAAAAGAAGGCGTAGAATAGTGAAATTTGTATACGAGAATCTCCCTCCGCATCGTAATATTCTCGCGACTTTTGTAACTTAATTATTAATTAATCGTGAAACGCGTATCATTTCACTACACACTCGTTTTTATAGGAAACTTATCATAACTTTATAAATTCATCAATTACCCAAGGTAATAACAAAAATTTGATTGTATTTACTTGTAGGTACCGTCATGTTTAAATATAAAGAATTGAATATACTATTTTTTCAATTTAATATGTGGAAGTGAAACTGACTGCGTCATTCCGTCACGATTTAGTAGATTGTTTCGTAAGATGAATAACTTGTATTAATAACAATTGTTTAACTTTAACAGACTAATAATCTATATACTCCTATTCTTCCTTACCATTGAACGATAATAATCACAGTGATTTCCTTCTTTATTCGCTTATGTTAAGCTAGAAATTATAGATCACTGCAGTACCAAACTTTGATGGTAAAGCAGTTCCAGTGGTTCTCATTCCTTCGTTAAAAACTGGATTCTAGTAAAGTTTATAAATGATAAAATGACAAATTAGACCAAAGTAAAAAAAATTGATAACAATTGCAGCATTATTACAAGCAATGTTCGATTTAATCATTTGTTTATTTATTCTAAAGTGAAGCAAGAATTATGCGAAAAAGACAAGAGGATACTGGTGATAGGATTATAGCTATTCATCTATATAGTCTTTGATACTCTACGTTCAAACTTAACAAGCAACAATAGTGATGACATCGAAGATGGTGTTGGAGTTATTTTTTATCATGTTAGTGGACCTGGTGCATATCGGACACCGTAAGTAGCCACCTCGTATGGTGAGTCTCGTATTACGTCTGGGCTGACTTGAGCAATAACACACTACACATCGGGTGACATACTTTAAGGCAAACGGTACATTGTGTTTTTTTTTCATATTGCAATTTTAAATACTTTTTTTATAACATAAATTGAAATGAATGCCTATCAATTATAAAACCGTTTTCTATATTCATAGTATAAACAAATTAAAAATATATTACATGGTCGTTGGGATGATATATTGATTAGGAAATTCGAAATCTAAAAAAAGCTTAGAGAAATGTTCCTAAAATTGCAACTTCAAATTTGTTAAAGAAAATTCATTGCAAAGCAATTAATCAGACGATCTAATATTCTTTAAAAATAGTACATTTACAGTACAAATACTATTTTGAGTCTATCTTAAAAAATATCAAGCTTGAGAAAACGGCATATTTTGTAAGATTAATTGTATCTGATATCTTAAGAAATATTTTTGCTCGATTAAGTGCAATCAGCCATATAAAATACAGAATTTTAAACTGATTGGATTAAATACGATCCTAATTTTTCATTCGAGTAGTCTCAGAAGATGCATAGAAAATTACGCAATAAAATAACTGTAAATACATGTAAAACGTACAAAAATGCAAATGCATCCACATATCTACATATCACTGCATGAAAGTGTACATTTTACTCTCGAAAAAAACGATTTCTACTTACTTTTTTCATATTCAATCCATATTAACATTTTTTTATACTCACATTTTCTAACACTTTCATTCCCTACATCAATATTTATCCTAGGTCTCCATTTTCTTTAGAACTCCTTTGCAATCCAAACATAAAAAAATCCATTAAAAAATCAATTAAATCAATCAATTAAACAAAAATACATTGCAGAAGATCAAATTTTATGAGAAGTATATATTTACAGTCATAATCAGATTGAAATCTCAATTCCATTACAAGTAATAATTAAAGCTTTACAATGTACAGTATCAAACGTAGTCGCAACGTTTCGCGAGGCGTCCATTTTGGCGGGAATTTTGAACCAGCCACCCGTTGTGCATGTGATCGCATGCACACTTTCGCGTGATCACGGCCGCGCGTCCATCTTATTGCGTCCGCGGGCCGCAAACATGGGTAGCAAAATGTAAACCACCATCATTATTAACAAGACGTCTAATGGGCGGCCGGGCTCGAGCCCGAGGAATAGTCGTGGAACACAATGGGGCCGTCGCGGCGTGACTCGGGTCATATTTTTCCACGGCTGGCTAAACAGCAATTAGAAACAGGTCCGGTGTTGTAGCTACAACGACGAGTAATCTGCTGGATGGTCGATTGTTTCGCCGGCATCGATTCGATCTTAATGAAATTACAAAGCGAAACGAGAACGGCTGCGCGCGCAAAACATCCCGATGGAACGATGGCCGGTCGACCGAGCAGAAAATAAAACATTGTTCGCGGTGCCGATTTGCGGCGGAGTTAATTAAAGACGGATTTACTCTAGACGCCATGCGAAATCGGCGGTTCCGGATGCCCTGCTAAAAACGGGCCAACCGGTCGAGTTGCAACGTTCAACTCGGATGGAATTGCTTTACGCTGTTTCTGCTTTTCTTTTATTAATCGATTGGCTCGGGAGAAATTGACGATATAAATATTTCTTTTATTGAAGAATGGAACGTATTGGTTACTGATTTTTAGTTATATTTGGTTATGTATGCCTTTAGAAAACCATTGATTTGTCAAGAGATTTTTCTTTCTTGTTAGTTTTATTATACAATTATTGAGAAAAGGAAACAAACGTTTACGAGTGGAAGAATCAAATGAGCATATGAAGTTCAAAAAAGTACATCGATATGAATATTTTGCGATGTGTATTTAGAACATTGCTAAATGGGAAATATGTTTTTAGTAAATAATCGTAAGACCATAAAAATGAATAATCAAAAATTTTTTAAAATTTGGATCTTTTGAATAGTATCATTTAAAACGACAGGTTTGTGTGCATAGAATGTATATGCAATAGTATATTACTTATTTTTTTGTTCATTCTGTCCATTAAACGTCAGTATATTTTAGAAACGTTTACTCCTATCGAATAATGCAAATCATCTATCACTATTGAGCTAGATACATAATAAATACACAGTAGCTGAATGGATATCGTCGATAGCGACAAAATTATGTCACATCCGCCAAAAAGTTTTTGTCATGTAAAATGATGTAATCAGTGGGCTATAAAGAATTCACGGTCGTAAACCATTGTGCGTATCTCACTCAACGTTTAACTCTCCTGTGATTCGCGCGTAGTTTCTTGTTTATGGATCAATAAATCTGGCAAGGCGGAGAGGAATGGAGGGATAAATGAAATCTAACATCGGCCCTGACATTTAGTGAAGTCGCACATTAGAGGCTATCAGTACAATTATAATCCTTTTTCCAGTCCACTTAATATTTAATCCGAGACTCTTTTGGGCGTGATATTATATGCTTGATTTATGAATGGAAAATATATATTAAAAAGGAAATTATAAAACCAAGAACAAAAAAATTTATAATTTTGAAATGAACAGGCAAATGTATTTAAAATATTAGTGAGGCATTAAAATTAATGTCGTCCTAACATATTTAAAGTTTTACGTGTAGTTTTACTTTATATAGAAGGCAAAATATGGTATTTACAGATAATACTTAACAGTTAATTAGCTGTTTAAGAGATAAATATTTTACCCTTCCCCTGTCTTTCGGTTCGGATTTAAAAACGAATTAATGTTCTTAATGCTTCTTGTCTTCTGCATCGCGTGACTGTATCTTGCTTCTCGACACCCATGATTCTTGTTACAGCGCGTTTGACCATAAAAGCTGAAACAATCGTACCAATTACTATTCCTATTGTTTCGATTGTCTTAAGAATAAACAAGAAACCTCCATTAAAAGCTGTTGCTACTATATAATTATAACTTTAAATGGTTTTATCAGCACAATATAAATGTCTTGGTATGAAACATAATAACTTATTGAAGTTTTTACTATTTTCATGTAAATATTATTTATACGTCTCCATCGATTGGCTTAATCACTTTTGAGCCAAGTCTTTATTAACATCTACTTTTACTTTCTACGCATATTTCTTTATGGAAGATCATGAGAAAATCATTCGTATTTTCTTTCTCCACATTATACATATTTTCCGATTGCCCAATTTTACAGCCAACTCATTAACTGTACACAGGTATCTTGCAAACAAAAAAGAATATACTCCCGTTTCTTTCGAGGTCTACCTCCAAAATACAATTAAATTTATTTTCGATTCTGTGTACAACGATCTCAGCAACCAATCTACAAACAAATCCTAATACAACACAAAAATTCTCCATAGCCCAACAATTCATCCTCTTCTCAAAGCTAAAAGTCTTAAAATTTGCATCTTTACGTTATTGTCCTTTTAAAGCCCAGCCCTCCAATTTTCCACCTTCATCCGCCACCCTCCAGAAGCCAACACGAAACATCAACCGCATCGAAATAACCACTCGCACCTCATGCAACATCCCTCCGCACGACAAAAATCGAAGCACCCAGGACAACGTCCGAGTCAGGTATTTGACTGTAACGCCCGAACGCAAACGAGAATCGCGACGGATAGTTAGCCCGAGCAATTCCCAGGGCCCAGCCGGCGCGGGACGGAGAGAGACAGCGAGACGGGCCCGCCAAAAAGGAGCAACGGGTCCGGTCAACAATGCTTAGGCCGCGATCAACGCGCCAATATTTTAAAGCCCGTGCGCGCCTCTCCCGCAGGTCCTCCTTTTCCCATATGGACTCCTAATCACGAGTCGCATCGGCAGATATAGCGTGTACCGACGATGCACCCCGTTAAATCTCGGGAGGGAATCGAGGGAGAAGACGGGAGTAGAAGAGGACCCGGGGCTCGGCGGGGTGG